ACCCCCCCGAAAAAAAAAAAAAACAGTACAACACAATCTTCCCACATAGCAAACTCACATGAGGGTTTCTCCTCTCTTTTCTCTCAAAAAAATACTATGTATTTTCAGATAAATCTCAAGAAAAGAATGGAGAAGACGAAAGGCACGTAGCTAGAAAACCCTAAAGAATGATACAAAGTGTAACCCTAAAGTCACAATGCTCTATTTATATGAGACTGTGGATCCAATGGTAAAGGGCTCGCCACGTGTCATCAATCCAGAAGATAATTCTTTTTAATTGAAAGCATGTTAGTTAAAGAACACATTTTTGCCAAATTCGGATTCTTCCATTTATTGGGCATCAACTTGGATAATAAATGTAGGCTTAAAGAAACCGGCTTTTGAGATAATTGGGCCTCAACAAAATTCATCAACCCATATCTTACAATCTCCACCTTTGCTGTATTTTGTGCCTGCACTAGGTTTCTAGCAAAGTCAGAATCAACAAAGCCTTTAAGCTTAAAACCATCTTTATTTGTTCTAAACATGAGTCCTATAAATTACATGTACCTTTCAAGTATTTAATCCAGTTTTTCATGCATTCCCAAAGAGACTCACCTGGATTACTAATGAATCTACTTAATACACTTTACATCATAGGCTATATCAGATCTTGAACACAACACATTACATACATGACAGACCCTTTTTTGGAGGTTGAGCATCAAAATGCAAGATAGATTATAGAGACGTAAATTTTGAACGGAATGGAAAAAAAAAAAAAAAAAAAAAAGAGATATTGAGCAAAATCGTTTATATTAGTTAGGTTTCTTATGAAACTACTGTTACAGATTATTTCACCTAACAAATAGTTTGGCAAATTTTAATCAAGACATATAAACGTTGCACAGAATTGGAAGGGTCTGAGGCCGTTAACTTTTGAAAAGTCAAAAGTTATTTCTAAAATTAAGAAACTGTTTTTGAATTTTTTAAATAATTTTTGATAAATTTATTTATTTATTTTTCAGCATGAGCTTCCTCAAATTATTTTTATATAAGATGCAGAAATAAGAGCAGAATGTCGTTAAACGGGCCTCAATTGGAGTATCATAAAAACAAATTGAAATTGAAATCATAATTGTAATTATGGTCATAAAACAGATTGGATTATGAAACCATTGCATTTAATTAAATAAGAAAAATAAGTGAGCACCTCCTCATAAGCTCCACTCCCTTCCATGCTAACATCATTCAAGAACTAGATGAAGAAAATTCATAAAGAAGATAAATGTCATCAAATTAGGGCTGGCATTAAGAATATTACTTAAAAAAAAAAAAAAAAAAGAACTGTTATTAGCAAAATTAAGAAGGCGTTTGTTTCTCATTTTTGCAAAAATTTGAATGAAAAATATGGTCGTCATGGGCCCCACACAATAGATGAAAATTTAAATTTGGTGACTTGATGTGATGGATAATGATTATATTTTTATTTTAATGGAGAAAGAATGAGAAACAAACAGGGGTTTAGTTCATAAATCTGGGAAACTTTTTACAGAGGCAACTTTTTCTACTTCAAAACACTTGTATTTTGCTATAAATAACCAATAATTTATTGAAAAATATTATTTGCAATTGCTCACTAATGAAGTTGTCCTATGTGGCATACATGCATCAAATCACTAACCGTCACATTATGTCATACATCAAATCATTTACTACTACATATATATCATGCGGGGTGACTACAGTACTGAACAGCTGCAAATAGTATTATTTTAATTTAATTTAAAGCCTCTTTTGAGGAAAGTGAGGGATCCAATAAAGCATACCTGACCAGACTCTTCTGGAGATAAACAATCCCTTTCTTGAACCTGGAGCAAAAAAATTAGCTCATCGTGAGTTTATTCAAATAAAAATTAAAAAAATTACAGTGTGTGTAAGAAAGAGAAGAAATATTGGTCTTTCATGGGAAAATGTGAAATGCGCATGTTTAGGTACTTACAGATTGTTGGTGACCCATGCTCCTCGATGCATTGCGCATGTAAGGAGAACTCAGTGCCTGCATGATTTTCGAGAAATTGTAGAACTCTTTTTGTTGTTTGAACAGAATATTATGGATGAAACAAAGCATATTTTACCTCAATTTGACCCTGAAGGAATCTGATGTAACCAATGGCTTCTGTCAAGACTGAAGCAGTGTCAGTCTGCAAAAGAGAAAGAAATATGCCAGAACACAGCTCAATCTCAAATTATTTTTTTTCCCAAAATTTTCTTTATAATCTTAAAAGACAACCTTAGATGGGATGATGATAAAGTAAAAAGAAAGGTTCTTTTCAGTTTTTTACTGGTTTCATCTTAACTAGATTAATTAAATGTTGCATTAATTAAATGTTGCTGCAGATTTATTCCTTGAATTGAGTAGTTAATGGAGACTGGAGAATCAAGAATGCAATTAGTTTACCTTTCCAAATGGAGAAACGATTTGGTGAAGAGCTGTTATTCTATCCCCTAATTTCTCCTTTCTCACCTGTTTTTTTAGTAATATTCTTAAGAATTTATGCAAGTTTTGTGAAGAAATAAATGAAGCCCCAATAATAATTTGTAAAAGCGAAAGAGATTATTCCTGACCTTCAAAGCCGGTTGACTGGATGACTGTTGAACCTTAGGCTTCTTAGATACCCCACCAATGCTCGTGCTGTTGCACTTTTACAAAAGGAACAAAGGGAAAATTTTACAGTCAACAAACCATGAACAAATCTAACAGCTATGTAGCAATGAATTGAACGAATCGGAGCAAAATAATTCATGTGGTCGACACCAAATTTGTTGGATAAGTCTTTTGTAGGCTGTTATTTTGACATTTTGTAAACTTTTCAAGCAAATTAATCATGATACTTTTGGGGCATGCTAAGAAAATAATAGCTTTTCTTTTCTTTTTCCTTGTGGATTATAATCACTGATAAAGCTTCCAACCTCCGATGAATGATCTAGATGTTGATTCTTGCGGTCGTAGTCCATCTTGGCGCCGGAGAAATTCAAGATATTGTTGCTTACACTTGTAATAGAAGAAGTAGGGGATGATTCTGGAATGACTTGAGGCCAACAAGAAGATCTCGAAGCTTGAAATTCATCTTCTACATTACCATAAAGTTGGTTTGTTTGTGCAGTTTCTTGCTTTACATCAACAACAGGAATACTAAAAGATGGGTTCAGAACTTGGACTTCCCAATTCTCCATTTTCTTCTGTTGCTGAAAAAGACTATTACCAAACTTTTCGTCTTCTTCAGTACCAGCCAATCCGCTCCTGATCAACCATAACTTCAAGTGTCAAATTATTACACCCAAATGGCCAAATCTTACACGGACACAAACACACAGAGCTAGTTGCAGTATGCATATAAAGGTGCACAGATCAAGAAGAAGGTTTAAATGCTAAGTAAAATGGGAAAATAAAGAAACTCATAAGCTTTTTGAAGTTTGATCCAAGAACTAGCTAGGGTTGGTAATGAAACAAAAACCCCATGACATACTGAGACTTGGGTTCTATCTTAACGTCATTTTTAGCTCAACTCCTTATATGTAAACTATTTATTTTATCTTTAATAGAGGTGGAAATTCATCCTTAACAGACACGTACACACAGAGAGTTGGTAATGAAACAAAAACCCCATGACATACTGAGACTTGGGTTCTATCTTAACGTCATTTTTAGCTCAACTCCTTATATGTAAACTATTTATTTTATCTTTAATAGAGGTGGAAATTCATCCTTAACAGACACGTACACACAGAGAGAGAGAGAGAGAGAGAGAGAGAGAGAGAGAGAGATTTACAGAAGCAGTTGGCTCCATGACCGTACAGGAAACTCTTGGGAGGGATTTGCAGTCGAAGAATCCAAAGAAGCCGAAGAAGAAGAAGAAGAAACATACAGAAATGGAGAAGAAGAAGAGAGATGGCGAGACTGTGGATGCATGCCATTCACACTCCACCAATTAGGGTTTCCAGCCATCATCTGTTACTGGAAATTCACTCCGCCAATTGATTTAAACCTGCAGAGAGCACCTTTCAAATAAAACAGGAAATCAAATCAATAACCTCCTTTTTTCTCTTTAATTTGTGGCTTTTACTCTTCACTTTCTCATCTTTCCTTGTTTGTGCACCAAAACAGACCTTTGTTGAAGCTTTCAGAATTGTGTTTGCTTTCTCATAATTAGAGATTGAAGAAACCCCCCGTCTTTGTCAACTAAGGAGTATTTTTTACTTGTGGGGTTAAGGAAGCTTTTGTATTTGTTGCACCCCCCACCCCATCCATCTCTCTACTTATTTATTGATCATTTTATTCTTGCTTTATCTTTATTATAAAGGCGGACAGAAAAAGCTAGGTGGGGAGCGTTTTCAAGCCAAAAAATAAATGTTTGTGTAGCTTTACTCCCTTGAATTAGGGTGATAGCCCTTAAATCAAACTTCTCTAAAAGGTTTTACGTGTAGGTCTTATTTACTATTTGATCAAAAGTTTGGTATGTATATGCCTTAACTTTCATCAATAAATGAAGAAATTCATATCATTCATAATCATAAGTTTCCAGTGAAAATGTTTACATGAAGTAATGAATTCCAAGATCTATTTGAATAATTGAATCACCTTACTTTCCAAACTCTAAAATATACATTTTCTTGCACTCCGATAATCTCAATCCCGATGACAATGGAAAGAGATTATTAGCCACAATTTAAGTGCCACTTTTTGTAAGATTTCATACAAAAATATGGTTCTATACTCCATACAAAAATCTATGATTTTCTTTCTCTGCCTTTTCCATAACATCAATTAGGAGGTTATCGAATTATTTGGAAGTTATTGGGAGTTAATGAGTCTTCGTATTTAAAAGTTAAATGGTAGTAGATAAGATACAATTATTATTGATTCAAATTATGTGGTGTAGAATAACAAAGAGTTGTTAAAAGGCTAGCTTAGGATTAGGTTCAGAATGTTTTTATTGGTTTTTAATGAATAATGATTGGATAAACTAATATAGCATAGACAGATTTAACAAAGAAACGAAAATAATTCTATTAATGAAGAAAAGATGATTGTTATCGGCAAAGAATTTATTCTTTGGACGAAAGATCATCCTTTAATATTAGCAAGAGGATTCCCAAGAAAACACTGAAAAAATTCTTCATTCTTTCTTTAGCTTCATTCTTGGTTAGTCATTTTTAGTATAAATTTAAATTCTTTCTTTCATTATTAAGAACATAAAATGGATAAAAATTTATATTGAAAATTATCAGAAATAAAATTAGTGAATTGTTAATCTTACCTTTTTGTTGTTTCAAAAGATAAATAATTGTCACTTATACTAAAGTTGTTGGTCCTTATTTTTATAAATTAAAAATCTGTCGTACCAAATATATGCTCTTAATTTATGAGATTAGGAGATATTTCTTAGAGTTTTGACTTTTAAGAATTTTTTAAATAATTAATTCCAGTGTAATTATGAGTGAATATAATAGAAAAAGAATTATTGCAAAAAAGTATCCTGCTACAAATCTAATCATTTTTTCTAATAAAAATCGTATTGGGACGTGGAGGTCGGTCATTGGATCCTTAAATTTTAAAGATAAAATAGTAATAGAATATATTTTGTAGGGAAGGTGATGGTAAGGTTATAATTTCTGCAAAATTTAAATTAGATGTCGAGAATTTATTAATTGATAGTAGAACAATACCTAGCTAAATATAAAGTAGAGAGAAAAGTAGCATTGAAGAGCTGGGGTATGAGAAAATTGAAGGAAGAAGATTTGTTCAAGCTTGAAGAAAGATACACTTTCTTTATTTCTTCTCTTTTCCAATCAAAAGTTGGCGATGATTCCAATTTTAATCTTTTTTTTTTTCTTTTTACAATATTTGTAGCTAATTCTCCTGATTAGCGCAGTCAATGAAATCCACTTTGAAAGTTTGATTTTAATTTGGTTGTGTATTGTCTTGCTTCTGGTTTTGACTAATTTGATTACTCAGCCAATAATTGATTTACTTGTGAACGGCAATGTGTCCAGATAATACAAAATGGAAATATAGGAAGATAATAACATCATTCTATTTTTTTCAATAATTAATTGAATTTCTTGGTGATTGAATGAACTGAGATAAGTTAAAATTCAAATAAAATATAGTGAATTTATTTAGATAGATTAAATTTTACTTGAGAAAAACTATCAATTGATTCAAAGGAATTCAATCGAGTAAACATGCCATCTATTACCATTAACTTCACAGGCTAAATCAAAATGGGAAATTACTGATGAATTCGTGAGCTCTAGCATTTTTCTTATCGTTATAATCTGCAAACTGACGTCAACTATAATTCACTAATTTGTTGTTTTAAACTTAAAATAGTCATTAGAATTAAAATCATTTCCCTGTCACTTTCCAGTATTGGTTCAAAGTAATATAAGAATTAAATTATGTTGTATTGAGTAACATGAATCTTGTTGAAACAAATTTTACATCACTTTATTACTTGTAACATCGTGCACTTACTGAACCAACATCAAGTAACTAAGTCACTGACTAAATCGTTGCGTCAATGATTTCGTTGTGTCGAGGGTACTGTTCTATGTTATAGATGTTAACGGTGATTGTTATATTGATCCTATAAATTTTTTGTACACTTTTTAATTGCAATAATTCTCAACATTTGTTCACTATCACATTTTATATCCTCATTTTTTTCTATCGCAATATTATCATCAGCTTTTCATTACTTAGAACATCTTATCCCTTATGACAGTTTTCGTCTTAAAAGTCAGCTAGGAGGTTGTATAAAGATTTGTTTGCCTATCATATTTAGATAAACAAAAAAATGCCAAATACAAAAATGAAACTTAATATTTGTTATTCATTTCAAAATATGTTGACCCCTACGAAAGAGATTCTATTACCCTTTCTACGGCTTTTTATTTTAGTTTTGGAAAGAGATCATAATTATGGACCGATATTCTAATTAATAAAATATTAAAAAAAGGAGAAAATAAGTACTATAATAAGAAAATATTTAAGCTTTCATAACATTAAAAATTGGTGCATCAAAATGTAATTTGTGCGTCAATATTTACTTTTTAACACTCTGACGCCTCAATTTATTTATTATGCTATTTTTTAATTACATAAATGCTCCACCATCTTCGCTTGCCTTCAAATTTTCTGTTGCAGATTATTTTTCATTAATTAATATATCTAGTCCGCCGATAATGACTTCTGTCAACATCCTATATTAGCATGCTTTGAAATGAAGGGCAATTCTTTTGTCGCGATTTTATATTTGCTACATTTACTTATTTAAACATATGAAGGGCAAGTAAGTCTTTTTACACTCTCCTCACAAATTTTTGGATGAAAACCTTCATCAAGAACAAATTGTTCTAGTTAATAAGAGATTGATATTAAGCATTCAACGGGGAAAAAATTAAGACATAGATGCAACAAGCAGAAGTTAGGGACATTGTAAAACTACTTAGTGCAAAAGTAAAAATTTCAACATAACCAAATTTCAACAAATTCAGTTGTGTTTAAGCCTAAAAGAGCCAACCTAACCTATTTAATCTGAATGGATGACGTGATCAATAGATCCTCGTTCCACTCATGTCCAGGTAGCCTCCTTTCTGCACACTTGAATAAATCGTTAAAGCATGTGGCCATCTTTGATGGTGGGAAAGGCAGCCCCAACGATCAAGTCAATCTATTTGAGAGTATATAATTGGGTGTGGAACGTGCTAAAGATATGAACCACAAAAAAGGGTTAGGATCCAGAATATAAAGAGAACAATTAGAGAACAAAATTATAGTTGAGAGTATAAAATTGCATTACTTTCAAATGACACTAAACCCTAGTTTGATGGCCATTATTTAGAAAATAATAATAGTATTTTTAATAGTGATTTTTTGAAGAATGTGTAGTTAAAAAGTAGGAAAAAAAGTTTAGAGTTATGTACAAAATATTTTATTGTATGAATATTGTTGAAAATGAGTATGAGAATTGAAAAGTTTGGTTTTAAAGGAAGACAAACATGAGCTAAGTGTGAGCTTTTATAGTAGAAGAGTAGAAACATTAACCATTGGATAGAGAGATATGTGGTCTTATCTTGATAGTCGAGGTGCTTTATCACAGACATCATTCTGTCATTCCTAGGACAGGCACATTTAATGTTTTTTTACCGTTTCCAACCCTATGACCTGACTTGACATGTAAGAACTGGACTTTACAAATTGACTTGGTAGAGTGATTGTGCAGTAAATTATCACATCAATTAATCTTAAGAGATTTTGTAAGGAAGATCCCTACACTGCCTCGCATCACCTCACCTTGTCCATGAGGGTTTGGACTCGCCAAGAGGGTTCGGCCCCTTCATAGTGTTCGGCTTTTTCATGGGAGTTCGGCCTCTTCATGAATGTTCAGGGAAATTGCAACATGGGCTTGATGACGTGGCGTGTGGGAATAGATTCGCTCATTGTGTGGCTGCCATAGGGTCACTTTTGGAGTCTATCTGGAAGAGGCGTAACAATGTCATTAAATTTAAAATATAATTATAGGATTAATCTATCTTTTCAAATAATTAATCTGGTTAATGACAAAAGCCAGGAAATTTTCAGAGAAGTCGCTTTTATTTTGCTTAACCTTGCCCGAATTTCAAATCCCAGGTTGGATTGAGATGAAGATGCCAAAATAATCTTTATTATGTCATTGGTTTCATATTTTTTTTAACATTATTGGTATTTAAAAACCAATTTCATTCTATATTGTCAATGATTTGATGCAATAATTTTTTGTAACCACATTCAAAACCAAAGCCTGTGTTTTGCTCATGTTTATAATTTTTTTATGTTGGTCTCAAGATTATTCTTTTCTAAAATCGATTGCATCAAAATAATAAAGATTTACAGAATCGTAAAGAACACAAGTATTTTCGCCCCTAAGGGTCCGAATGTTCAGCCAAAGGCCTACTCACCCGTTGAGCATCTACAAAAGTAGATTAGACTCGAATCCACTAAGAATCACAAAGAATCGATACAAGAATATATGAAGAAACTATCGTTTCTTCAATTTCAGATTTCTATCGCATCTTTTTAACATAACACTCAGTTTCTACAATCTCACAGATCATATACCATATACAACCCTAACATCACTCAGATTAGAGATTGCTTTCAGAAATTACACGAACAAAACGAGTTCGGAAAACCCTCAGAGAGAAGACGAAGAAAACCCTAGAACCGTTCACTCAGAATTAGAGTGAAAATG